TGTTTCACTAAATAGATCGAAAATGTTTCAATCTTTGTACAAAGCTGAAACACAACCAAATCACCTCATGAAAAATTTTACTAAAATCAGACATTGTTTCACCCTATATAAAAAACAATGTTTCAGCAAATAGCGAAACAATGTTTTCCATTCTTAAAAAAAGTGAAACACAGTCAGATCGCTAGATAAAACAATTTGGTTCAAGGTATGCAACAAACGATTTAAAGCCACTGCAACACTTAAACCCCGTGTACATCAACAAACCACATGTCCATCAAGATGAAATTATTAAAACAGTATAAAAAATCCACTACAACATTTGATCCATACATAGTGAAACATCATGAGTACAATAGCTGAAACATTGTTGGTGCAACAAAAAATGAAACGGATCCCTTAATAGAGCGTTTTCGTGATATGCGGGTGATTTGTTGCAACGGCGTGCGTGGTGGGGCGCATTGTGGGGGCAGCGCGCGAGCGTGGGAGGTGCGGCGGAAGGCATAGGGCGCCCGATCCCCCCCCCCCCACATCGGGTGCCCCACGTGAAGAATTTTGGAAAGTATTTGCAGTCATCAGCGAGCGGTAACTGAATTTCACACGATCGAGTAAGAATAGGAAACGTATAAACTGAAATTGTTCTCCAGATGATACTACAAGTTAATCCATGATTAGTTGAACGTAATCAAGATTCCCTAATCCTTGTTTTATTAGCTTTTAATTAATTACAGCTCACGCTTCCTCTAATCCCCCTCTCTCTCCTCCCAACTCCCGCACGCACACGAAACTGATGCATAAAGTATCGGAGAGAGCTACAAATCGGACGCGCCCACGTCATCATGACGTCATCCTGCAGGCATACATCTAAGCGAACTTTAAACTATTGTTTCTCTTAAATTATTTATCCAAATCATAATCCGATTGCACCATTAAATCCGTTGCAATTAAATCTTTAAAACAAGACCACACATGGATACAATTCGATGAAAAAAATTAGCTTATTATTGAATTATTTTTAAATGTTGCACGCTGTTGCACCAAATATATCGGAATTGTTTTACTAAGTAGATCGAAAATGTTTCATCGGACACTGTTTTATTTTATATGAAAACAATGTTTCAGCGAATAGCGAAATGATGTTTCAATTCACTGCAACATTTGATCCATACATAGTGAAACATTATGAATACACTAGGTGAAGCATTTTTGGTGGAACAGAAAATAAAACGAATTCCCTTAATAGAGGGTTTCCATAGTATGTGGGTGATTTGTTGCAAAAGAATATTTCAATTCACTGCAACATTAGATCTATACATAGTGAAATATTATGATTACACTAGATGAAACATTTTTAGTGGAAAAAATGAAATGGATTCCCTTAATAGAGGGTTTCTAAAATATGTTGGTGATTTGTTGCAACGGAATATGTGGTGGGGACACGTGGCAGCACGAGGGCGCGCGTGGGAGAGACATGGGCGCCCGGCGGCTGTCATTTTCCGCATCCGATATTGAGCTTCCCACTGGACGGGCGATCGGAAGCATTCTCCTAAAGTATCTGCAATCATCAGTTAAATCGTAACTGAATTTTAGCGGTTTGAGTAAGAATAGGAAACCCTAGTACAAACTGAAATTGTTCTCCAGATGATACTATAACTACACCTCTAAGGAACGGGTCTTCTAAACGACGCCTCTAAGGAGGGAACGACGCCAAGAGCACTGCCGTCGTCCGTCCTAAAGAATCAGAACGTGGTTTTCACCTGAAGAACTTATTGGGATGAAGAGGAGAGGAGATAAAATGCAACAACACCCCAAGAGGAAACGGCCTCCGCAGGCATCGTCTTTGCTTGCCCATGGTTGATTCAGTTTTATAAACAAAATAATTTTGTTAGTTGTTGTTAAGGATAATTTTGATTCTGTGGCACACACGAAAAACAGCTAGTTTAGAAAATAGGCACAACAAACACAAATGTCGAAAGTATTTGCAGTCATCGGCTAATCCTCATATATTTGACGAGGAGGGGATGAGGATGGGGATGAGGACATAGATAATGATGTGACGGAGATGACAAGAATTGTGATGGAGTGGTATGGTACTAGTTTTCTCAAATTCCAGTGGCATTCAACCGATATCGTGAATAGTATTGATATTTCTCTAATTTGGTAAATTTGCAATAGCGTAGATCCAACTAACCCAACTGTAAAAATATAATGTCATATATTTTTAACAAAACTTGAACGCAATAAACGCAATGCCAAAAGTATTCGAGGCGCCTACAAATCGGGCGCCCTTTTTTTTTCAAAAATCGGGCGCTATTTCACCAAGTTGATCAAAAATGTTTCAATCTTTGTAAAAAGCTGAAACACAACCAAATCACCTCATGAAACATTTTTCTAAAATCGGACATTGTTTCACCCTACATAAAAACAATATTTCAGCAAATAGCGAAAGAATATTTCAATTCTTAAAAAAAATGAAACACGGTCAGATTGCTAGATGAAACAATTTAGTTCAAGGTATGCACCAAAGGATTTAAAGCCATTGCAACACTTAAACCCCGTGTACATCAACAAATTACATGTCCATCAAGATGAAATTATTAAAACAGCATAACAAATCTACCGCAACATTTGATCCATACATAGTGAAACATCATGAGTACAGTAGCTAAAACATTGTTGGTGTAACAAAAAATGAAACGGATCCCCCTAATAGAGCTTTTTTGTGATATACGGGTGATTTGTTGCAACGGCGCGCGTGGTGGGGCACATTGTGGGGGCGGCACGTGAGCGTGGGAGGGGAAGGAGGCATGGGGCGCCCGATCCCCCCCCCCCATCGGGCGCCCCACGCAGAGAATTTTCAAAAGTATTTGCAGTCATCGGCGAGCGGTAATTGAATTTCACACGATCGAGTAAGAATAGGAAACGTACAAACTGAAACTGTTCTCTAGATGATACTACAACTTAATCCATGATTAGTTGAGCGTAATCAAGATTCCCTAATCGTTGTTTTATTAGCTTTTAATTAAGAATGTTTCAATTCTTAAAAAAAAGTGAAACACGGTCTAGATCGCTACATGAAATAATTTGGTTCAATGTATGAAAAAAACGATTTAAAGCCATTGCAACACCTAAACCACGTTTCTATCAAGATGAAATTATTAAAATAGTATCAAAAATCCACTACAACATTTATTCCATACATAGTGAAACATCACGAGTACACTAGATGAAACATTGTTGGTGAACAAAAAAAAATAGATCCCCCTATATAGGGCGTATCTGTGATATGCGGGTGATTTGTTGCAACGACACACGTGGTGGGGCGCGTTGTGGGGGCGGCATGCGAGCGTGGGAGGGGCGGGAGGCAGGGCGCCCGATTTTTTCTCCCCCCATCGGGCGCCCCACGCGGAGAATTTTCGAAAGTATTTGCATTCATCGGTGAGCGGTAACTGATTTCACTGGAGCAAGTAAGAATAGGAAATATACAGACTGAAATTGTTCTCTAAATGATACTATAAGTTAATCCATGATTAGTTGAGCGTAATCAAGATTCCCTAATCCTTGTTTTATTAGCTTTTAATTAATTACAGCTCACGCTTCCTGATCTAATCCCCCCTCTATCTCCTCCCAACTCCCACACGCACATGAAAACGATGCATAAAGTATCGGAGAGAGCTACAAATCGGACACGCCCACGTCATCATGACGTCATCCTGCATGCATGCATCTAAGCAAACTTTAAACTATTTTTTCTCTTAAATTTTTAATCCAAATCATAATCCAATTGCACAGTTAAATCTGTTGCAATTAAATATTTAAAACAAGACCACACATGGATATAATCCGATAAAAAAATTAGCTTATTATTGAAATATTTTTAAATGTTGTACACTGTTGCACCAAGTATATCAGAATTGTTTTACTAAGTAGATCGAAAATGTTTCATCGGACGCTGTTTCACTTTATATGAAAAGAATGTTTCAGCGAATAGCGAAAGGATGTTTCAATTCATTGCAATATTTGATCATACATAGTGAACCATTATGAATAAAAAACAAACATTTTTGATGGAACAAAAAATGAAGCGAATTAAGCGAATTCCCTTAATATAGAGTTTCCATAATATGTGGGTGATTTGTTGCAAAAGAATGTTTCAATTCAATGCAACATTATGTCTATACATAGTGAAACATTGTGAGTACACTAGGTGAAATATTTTTAGCAGAACAAAAAATGAAATGGATTCTCTTAATAGAGGGTTTCCAAAATATATGATTGATTTGTTACAACGAAATATATGGTGGGGACACGTGGCAGCACAAGGGCGCACGTGGGAGAGACGTGGGCGCCCTGCGGCTGGCATTTTCCGTGTCCGATATTTGGCTTCCCACCGGACGGACGGACGATCGGAAGCATTCTCCTAAAGTATCTGTAGTCATCAGTTAATCGTAACTGAATTTCTCCGGATTGAGTAAGAATAGGAAACCCTAGTACAAACTGAAATTGTTCTCTAAGGAATGTGTCTTCTAAACGACGCCTCTAAGGAGGGAACGACGCCAAGAGCACTGTCGTCGTCCATCCTAAATAATTAGAACGTGGTTTTTGCATGAAGAATTTATTGGGATGAAGAACTTATTGGAAGAGGAGATAAAACACAGTAACACCCTAAGAGGAAACGGCCTCTGCAGGCATCATCTTTGCTTGCCCATCAACGCTTGCCCATGGTTGATTCAGTTTTATAAACAAAATAATTTGGTTAGTTATTGTTAAGGAGAAATTTGATTCCATGACAACACACGGAAAAACGACTAGTTTTAAAAAAAAACGCACAACAAACACAAATGCCGAAAGTATTTACAGTCATGGGTTAATTGTAACTGAATTTCACCGGATGGAGTAAGAATAGGAAATCCTATAACAAACTGAAACGGTTCTCCGATGATACTATAACTACAAATTAATCCATGATTAGTTGACTGTAATCAAGATTCCTAATCCGTGTTTTATTATCTTTTAATTATAGCTCACGCTTCCTCTGATCCCTCTCTTCTCCCAACTCTCCACTCCCGCACCGCACGCACACGAAACCGATTTCCCTCCGCCGCAACCGGAGCTCACCTCACCTCGCCGGAGAAGATCCGCCATGCCTCGCGTGCCTCTCCCCCTCCTCCTCCTCGTAGCCCTCCTCGTCGCCGGCGGCGGCGGCGCCGCGGCGGAGACGAAGCCGACGGCGTACGAGGCGCTGGCGACGTTCGACTTCCCGCCGGGGATTCTCCCCAAGGGGGTGGTCTCCTACACCCTCGACGACGCCACCGGCGACTTCACCGCCACGCTCAACACCACCTCCACCTGCGCCTTCTCCATCCAGGGCTCCTACTCCCTCCGGTACCAGCGCCGGCTCTCCGGCCGCATCGCCGCCGACCGCCTCACCAACCTCCAGGGCGTCTCCGTCAAGATCCTCTTCCTGTGGGTCAACATCGTCGAGGTCACCCGCCACGGCGACGAGCTCGGCTTCTCCGTCGGCATCGCCTCCGCCGACTTCGGCATCGACAACTTCCTCGAGTCCCCGCAGTGCGGCTGCGGCTTCGACTGCCACGACCACCGCGATCTGTCGCTGCCGCTTCCGCTGCCGGAGCCCAGCCTGCGGCTGCGAGGTGCGTTCTAGAATCCTCCTCCTCCTCGATCCTTGGAGGTTGCTGCTCTAAAGCAATTCTTGGATAAATGCTGTTGGTGTGAGCTGCAAGATCCAAATCTATCTTTAGATGGGTTAATAAACAAGAATTGGTAGATCCCCAACTTTTTGATGGGATAGGAAATTCAGAGCTCGATTTCGTATGTTTCTGCACTGTTTCAGACAGTTTAGAGAGAATCACAGGAGAAAGTAAGATCAGCTGAATTTTCTTGTATGCAAATTCTTTGGGAACTATACCGAGAAAAAAAAATAACTCAATGGAATTATGTTCTTTAGCTTGTAGTTCTGAGGCATCTGGATGACTGGATGAATATTGTTGCGAAGTTTGTTGAGATGCCAGAATGATTCTATGGCTGGCAGGTGTAACTGCCTGTTCTGATCTTCTGTTAGTTGGTTGAAGATATCAAACATCTCCATTTTAATATAGGACATGCAGCATTGTAGTTAAGATGATTACAAAGGGGATTTTTAGGGAAGTCTACATCTTTGCGATGTGAAGAGTTGCTATAAAATTCCAAAACAACAAGTGTTAAATTGTGCCGGGAAATGTTGTGTTTTGAGTCAGATAGTCAGGTGAGAAGTATGCCCAAGATGATTAAGGTTTTGTCTGTTTTTCACTATGAATGTTTATTCCAAGCATAAGACATTCAGTAGATTTGTCTTTTGAGACATCTATTTAACAATCAAAAGAGATATGGTTAGATTTATCATGCTTGGATGATTGTTTTAATTATTAGGTTCAGTATTGTCCTTTAGGTTTTGATGCTTGAAGCATTATTGGGTATTGGGCTATACTGTCTCTTTCTTATGATGAAAAATCATGAATTTGGGTTCTGCATGCAACCATGCTTGCTTTATAGGATTTTTGATACAAATCAGATCAGTTTGCTCATGTCAAGCTCCTTTGGAGGTTTGTTTGAAAATTTTGTACGGTACAAAATATTTGGAAAAGTTTTTCTGTTTCTTTTGAAACAAAGCAATGGGCCTTTGAAGTTCCTATGGAATAGTCTAATTCATAGGAATTTTGGAGAAAATCATGAGCTCCAACCTCTTGGAGAATTTCCTTTGTATCATTCTCTCTCCTAAGTCAGTGTTGTTTTACTGTGAAGCATCCAAACAACAAAAGTGGGCATTTCTAGTGTTTTGAGATTGCTTAGAATCAAGTTTATTTGCTAGCATAATCCTTTTTTCTCTATTCCTGCATTCTTACAATTGGAATGTTACAATTCCCAAAAGTGCCCGAACTTAGAAAAAAAAATCCCATATTCCAGGCTGTCAGCCATGGTATGACAATATGGCTGGTGACCCAAGACCTTAAATATGGCTATTGAGGATCAACAAGCCTTGAAAAGCTCAAGTTTGCAAGCAAGAAAGAAAGAAATATTATGGGTTTTGGTTATTATTAATGAGTAAATTCCCTATGTACCCCTGAAAACTCACTAAATCCCTTTCGTACCCCTGAAATTTACCCGATCCTTTCTATACCCCTGAAATTTCAACTTGATCCCTTCCATGCCCCTACCGTTACATTTTTTATCATTTCACTATTACGTTTGGTTGCAAATGTCTTTTTGCCCTTGATGTTTTAGGTTTGAATATAAGCTTCAAACACGATTGAAATTTTTGTTTGAGTGCACAGTATGTGCATTTTATGAAACTAATGAGATTAAATAATTAGTGCAGAAAATTTTGACATAAATTTAGGAAATAAAACAAATGTAATAAATTAAAATTTTAATAGGACAATGGATTTTTTTTTGATCGGCAGCATTCATAAAATAATTATTGTGAAAATTGGTAGTCCTATCTTCGTATGAATGCTCCTCATTTTTCTGATTTTTTTAAAATAAATACATAATTTTTTATTTCATTATCTAAACATAATTTTTGGGATAAATAATGCATCGCACAACAAACTCATAACTATAACAGTCTCATGTAAGAAGCTTTTACATTTTTAATAATGTAATCCATAAATTTCTATGTTCATTCAAAGGGTAAAATGGTCGTTTTTATTGAAATTAGACGGTCAACTAAAATGGTCGTTTGTTTTTATAGAAATTAGACGGTCAACTAACGGTCAATTGACGGGAGGGGTATGGAACGGAGGGGTATGGAAGGGATCAAAATCAAATTTTACGGGAGGGGTATGGAACGGGAGGGGTATGGAAGGGATCAAAATCAAATTTTAGGGGTATACAAGGAAGGAAGGAAGTAAAATTCAGAGGCATATAAGGGACTAGCTAAAAATTTAGAGGTATAAAGGGGGCATAGAAGGGATTAGCTAAAAATTTAGGGTATACAAGGGATTTTCTCATTATTAATTGATGAGTAGATTTAACCCATATAATTGGTCAGGAACAGAAATGGTCCCCATCGGTTGGTAATATCGTAATTAAAAGATAATTTGAAAGTAGAAAAAATTTATATGTGCGACCTTGACGACTTAAAGCCAATGTTAAAAGAGTACGTTGAGAATACTCTAAAATTAATTTAAAATTAAGTTTTAGAATTCAAATTTTGGTAAAGGCTTATTCTTTATAGTGCAAACGATGAGGCCCTGATTATTCCCCAGGAATAAAATCTGTATATGGCGATTCTTTAAGGTAGCTATTTCACTATCGTTGTTTTGTTTGATAAAGTTTTCTTTAGTGGGACTGTTATCTGTTCTCGTGGCTTTAAAAGATCAGACTATGCAAAACAAAAGCCAAAAGTCAGTACATAGGTAATCTAATCAGGCTAACACTAGTGAAATATAAGCAGCAGCGTTCAATATGAAACTGTCACACTTGGAGACTCGATCATAGCTGGTAAATGCTCCAGCAACTACTAAAAAGCCTTTCAGCTTCACTGATTCTTAAGGCTATTTTGAAACGCAAGATTCTAAAAATACAGAAATTAAATAATTTGTTAAGACTTGTTGAATCCTTAGAATTTTAATAGTACAGAAATTGCTCAAATAAGCTGTTTGGCTGCCTCGTATAAAAAAGAAGCGAATGAATTTGTGAACAGGAAGACGGAAAAAGAAAAATCCCGTGAGGTTGGTCCTCATGTTTAAGGGTATTGATTTGTAAGAAAAATTCTAGGAAATTTGGATGATTTCAATTCTATAAAAAAAATTACTATGGAAACTTTTGAAACAAATGATCGAGTCATATCCTATCCTATCCTTAAAAATTACTGTAGAATAGGTAATTCTATAAAGATTTTTGGAGGAAAATTAACAAGAGGTCCTATCTCTTGAAAAATATTCCTTTTATTCTATCTCCCATCTAGCTCATGTGTTTTTATGTGATCCAATAAAATTAATCATTCCCGTGTTTTTATTTATTTCGTAATTATTTGTTTTACACTTATATTTCTATCAGAATCCTATTTTTTTTCTATTTCTCCGTTTTTCCGTTCCTGCGATTTAAAGGGACCCTAAAATCTTTCATAATTCATATGAATTTAGCAAATGCATAGGAGTTTAAAAGGATTTGAGATGACCATTCTTTTTTTTTCCCAAAGGCACATATAGGAACTTTCTTTATGGAATTCAGATCTTTATAAAACCTCTTAATACCCTTTATGCCAAAGGAGCCCTTACGCCTAGAGATGGACCAACGAAAGATATCTTCAAGCAAGCTTTGATTAACTTGACAATATGTGTTTCCGTTTACAAGCTGTTATCAAATTTTAACTTTTGGCTCTTAACTTTTAACTTCTTTTATTGTACTGACAAGTCGTTTTAGAAATTATGTTTAGCTTTACATCCCCCATTAAAAAATTAACTTCTAAATAAATACATATTTAGATCTAGAGACTACTTATTAGTCTTTCGATTTATGTCTTTCAAGTCTTCGTATGTTATGTTATAGAATTTTCAACCAATAGATATAGTCCATTTTAAATGAAATAACAAAAGAAACATGTCAAAAAATGTAAAATCTAGAGAAAAACTATTGTAAAATCTAATTTTGATGCACTTTAATTAAGCGTAACTGTAAGTTAGATGGAGTATAAGTGAAGAATAGAAGCATGAAAACCAGTCACAAGTAAAATAACAAATCTGTATAACTACTCTTAAAAATTGGTTTTTTTTTTTGGGATGGAGCAGTATGTCGTGTGCAGGCACTACTTCAGACTGCAGTTGCATCTGAAGACGGTTGATCCATCCTCGTTAAGACTGGTCTATGGATGCAACGTGCCGTGCATACAACTGTATCTACATAGATAGCACTCCACGTATAAGCCCCTCAGTCCAAACGTGCCACTGCAGCTACATACTCCAGATAGCACTCCACGTATAAGCCTCTCAGTCCAAACGTGTCACCAGACGACGTAAAGAGCTGCAGCTCCCGTGCTAGAACCTTGTGTGGTCAAAAGTTAAATACTCCCTACGTACTCGTAAAGTCGTTTCGGATAGACACACGGTTTTCAAGATACAACTTTAATTTTTTATAAAAAATATTTATTGAAAAGTTATATATGTATATTTTTATGAAAGTATTTTTCAAGACAAATCTATTCATATAATTTTTACATTTTTAAACTCAACAAGTTGAGAATTATTTATAATTTATATTTCTAAGGTTTAACTTAAATATTGTTCTAAACAACCTTCTTTACAAGTAAGAAGATAGTATATATAGCTTTATCTTTACAAGTAAGAAGATAGTATATATAGCTTTATTTAGTTTATTACTAAACATTGGTCATGCCTAAATAATCTAGCAACATCATATTTATGTTTATTATGCTAAAACTTAATAATGATATCTTCATTCTATAAAATACTTATTTTTCTAGGATTAAAAGATTATTTTAAAATAGCTGTCACTCTATACTATTATGTGTCACATTAATCATCTTATGTTAAAAATTTCTTTCCATTCTATTCCAAACATCTTCATATATACTTCCCATTTAAATAAGGGACTATAATCTTTTTAAAATGATAAGTATTGTGAGATAGAAGTAGCACGTGATCGATGTATAAATACGGCCGGTTAAAGTTTGAGAAAAAAATAGTTTTAAAACGTTGTACATACTCCCTCCTTTATAAATTGATCATCATATTTGTTTATGCACCAAGACCAAGGATAATTAAATCACATCCATCGAGACACTATGCACACATTTTCCTACAATCCATACATCAATTAAAACATCATGCCAATTACACCTTATTATGCACATATTCTCCCATGTTGTATTAATTGTATTTTGATGAAATTTGTCTCCGTGCGGTTATATGATGATCAGTTTTAGAAATTTAAATTCTATTATATGATGATCAATTTGGGAAGGAGGGAGGCTCTGTTTAGATCCCATCCAAAAATTTTTTACCCTATCACATCGAATGTTTGAACACCTGCATGAAGTATTAAATATAGGTTAAAAAAACTAATTACATAGATTGCGACTAATTCGCGAGGCGAATCTTTTAAACATAATTGCTCCATAATTTGACAATGTGGTGCTACCGTAAACATTTGCTAATGACGGATTAATTAAGCTTAATAAATTCTTCTCACAGTTTACTCACAGATTCTGTAATTATTTTTTTATTAGTGCCTGCACACCCTATACAATAGCCTATATAATATTTGATGTGACAGGTAAAAACTTTACACCTGTTATCTAAACACCCCCTTTAAACTGAAGGTAGTAATGTAGTACACTACTCCCTCTGTCCTAAAAAAAGACAAACCCTGGGTTTCCGTGTCCAATATTTGATTGTCCGTCTTATATGAAATTTTTTTATAATTAGTATTTTTATTGTTGTTAGATGATAAAACATGATTAATACTTTATGCGTGACTTGTCTTTTTAATTTTTTTCATATTTTTTTCAAATAAGACAGACGGTCAAACGTTGGACACGAAAACCCAGGGTTTGTCTTCTTTTGGGACGGAGGGAGTAGTTGTGAACATCTTTCTCAATGAGCGTACGTGGCTTCACACTTGCCGGGCATCACCAATGTATATGGCAAAAGTGATCCATATAGATGAGACCCACATAAAGAGACTTTAACTATAGCAATCTTCACAATATATATATATATAGATATAAGGTAGCATTAGGAGATGAGAGAGAAATAGAGATATATAATATTATTTATTCCATATGGGTAGTCCATATGCTTATGGATAGCTTTTGTTATTTTCTTCATATGGACTAGTTGTACAATGGTAATAGATAGCTGAATGAAATATAATATTGCCTATGGACTACTTTTGGTTCACATTGTGGATGCCCATATAGGAACAACCACTGTGACGGATTTACGGTACAAGAGAAGAAAAAACAAAAAGCAAAGAGAAATAAATACTGCTCCTTCTGTAATGCATGAATTCTGTAAAACAATAGTGCTACATAATTCCTCCATTTCAAAATGTATAGTATCATTTATTTTTATATAGCGTTTAACTATTCATCTATATAAATATTATTTATTTTATTACGACTTATTTTATTATTAAAGAAATATAATATTAGTTTTTAATAAAACGAACGATTGAAAAGTTAATGATTTTATACCTTCTAAAACGAAGGTAGTACTTCGTAGATAGTGATCGCGATGGTGCGAGAAACTCTCTCTACTCATCGTGTTGTTGACTTGTTGGTGAACAAACAGTAGTGTGCACCACCTGGACAAGAAAGGCCATGCGTGCCGTGTGTACACTTTCTAGATCAACGTACGGGCTCGTAAGTCGTAACATCACTAGACGGCGATCCTAGCAAGATTCCGATCAGGCTCTACTTCATCATGTAATCCTTCCTCAAGCTTAACATCACAAAGGCATTCGACACAGTCCGTAGGGACTACCTACTTGATCTTATGCAGCAGAAAGGCTTCCCTACGAGATGGAGAGATTGGAGAACAAATATTCTCGGAGTTCTTCTTCGCGGGTGCTTCTCAATGGAGCCCCTGGCCCTCCTATAAGACATGGGCGTGAGCTCAGACAAGGCGATCCTCTATCCCCCTCCTATTCGTCTTGGCCATTGACCCCCTACACCTTCTCTTCGAAAAAGCGACAAGCGAGGGGCTGCTAATTAAACTCGACGGACGAGCTGCGTGGCTAAGAACCTCCTTATACGCCGACGACGCTGCGATCTTCATCTACCCCTCGGTCTAGGACATGACCAACCTCGCGCAAATCTTGACCCACTTTGGTGAGGTCATGGGCTTTAACACAAACTTGGCCAAGAGCCAAATTGCGCCAATTCGCTGCGAAAACATAAATCTGCAGAACATCACCGAAATCTTCCCAGCACAAGTCACCCATTTCCCGATGAAATACTTAGGTCTCCCACTCGCTCTCTCCAAGCTCAAAAAGGTGCACGTTCAACCCCTTCTTGACAAGTGTCGAAAAAAAATGGCTCCATGGCAAGGCAAACTTTTGAACACAGCTGGTCGCACGGCCCTCACGAAATCAGTGCTGACAGCCCAACCAATCTATCATATGACGGCACTAAAGCTACAGGATGGCACTCTGGAAGCCATCGATAAAACCAGACGAAAATTCCTATGGGCTGGAGGAGAAGACATCTCAAGGGGAAAATGTAAGGTTAACTGGGAAAGCGTCTGTAGACCCAAAGAGTTGGGAGGGCTTGGCGTCCTGGACCTCTTCAAGTTTGCAAGAGCCCTTAGACTGCGATGGCTTTGGTTTGAATGGACTGCGCCAGAAAGGCCTTGGACAGGCACCATGGTCCCTTGCGATCAGCTAGACAAAGACCTCTTCGCAGCAGCAACCACTATAACTATTGGAGATGGGAGGATGGCGAACTTCTGGCACTCCCACTGGATTGAAGGCAAATCGCCAAAAAGCATCACACCGGCAATTTTCACCGCTTCAAAAAGGAAGAACATAACAGTTCAAGAAGCTCTGACTTCCAATTCCTGGATCAGGGACATTAACCTCCTACATCTCACATCCGGTGATCACCTTCGGCAATACGTCGAGCTGTGGACTCTCATTCACAATAGAACCCCCCTGGGACAACAGCGTGACACCATCACCTGGAAACTAACTCTCACCGGGGAGTACACTACGAAATCAGCGTACAGAGTTCAGTTCTTGGGGGCAGCAAAATCATTTTTCAATGAGACGATCTGGAAATGTTGGGCGCCGCCAAAATGCAAATTCTTCGCATGGCTGGTTATGCAAAACCGGGTGTGGACGGCTGATCGACTAAAAAAACGAGGCTGGAGAAACCAACAGTATTGCCCACTTTGCCACACTACATTGGAAACGGTAGTCCATCTCCTCGCCCACTGCAGATTCTCCCAACGCATCTGGCTGGATATCCAAAGGTGGACTGGCCTTAATCTCAACATTCACAACTGGGACAGATGTGCCAGTGGAGGATTGGTGGTATCTACTCACGCACAGTCGGCAAAATCCAGCCAAGGCTGTCAAGACCCTAATCATCCTCATCTCCTAGGAACTGTGGTGTGAGCGAAACGCGCGAATCTTTTGACACAATGGCAGCCCGCCAACGGCGGTGGTCAACAAAATAAAAGGAGAAGCGGCTACATGGGTCCTTGCAGGGGCCTCTAGTCTGAGTGCGTTTACTACTCTGGGAGGAATCCCGTATAGTCCCCCCCCCCTCTTTGTTGCAGGGCCATGTAAATATCAGTCCTGTTTTTTTTTACTTTCTTGCTCTATCAATATATATACGAGGCAAAGCTTTTGCCTTCTTTTCAAAAAAAAATGTAATCCTTCCGTTTAAAGAAAATCCCAATCCTTATTAAGTTCCTGGATGAACACTTGATCAGGTTTATAACTAGGAAGGAAAAATTATTCTAATTTTATTTTGCATTATAAGACTTATATGTGAGTCACACTTACACGTAGACATTACTATGAAGTTAGCATACGGAGCGGGATGAAACTTGTTTAGACATGTATGACATCTAAAACTATTTCGGAAATTTGAAAATATGCATCTCGAAAGTTTAGAAGCCAACACCCCACACAAATTCAGAGACTAGCCATACACTCCCTTTTTCTTTTCTGATATAGGGTTAGCTATTGCTTAGGATCTGCTTTCACCTTGCTAGCTCCGATAAAATATAATAGATAACTAGATATATCGTTTTGCTTATGTTTATGTTTATTTGTACGACCTATTAGCAATAAAAGTAATTTTATATACTCCATCTAAAAGCAAATACCATAAAATAAGGTACGATAACAAAACTATAAAATAAATTTCAAAATTAACATTTATAAATTAAAATTTGGCTTATAACCCCAAGCATAAACCTAACGATGGGCTGTGTACGGCACCAGCTCCGGATTCGCCAAGCTCCTGGTTTCTTGGGACCCCATAGCTCCGGATTCGGTTTTCGTTGGAGCTACAGCTACAGCTAGTCAGCTACCACGAACCACGTTGCTGTTGCTCCTCATTAATGGCGGGGGCTGCATTTTTCTCAAGCCCCCAACGTCATAAAATCCACCCGGATTCTCCCTCCCGCGAAACCAAACAACCCAACCCAACCCAACCAAAATCCCACCCTCCGCCATGCCTCGCCTCCACCTCCTCCTCCTCGCCGTCCTCGCCGTCGCCGCCGCGGCGGCGGAAGCGGCGGCGGAGAAGAAGCCGACGGCGTACGAGGTCCTGGAGTCCTACGACTTCCCCGTCGGCATCCTCCCCAAGGGGGTCACCTCCTACACGCTCGAGGCCACCACGGGCGACTTCACGGCGACGCTCGACACCGGCGACGACGACGACTCATCCTCCTCCACCTGCGAGTTCGCCATCGAGGGCTCCTACTCGCTCCGCTACCAGCGCGCCATCACCGGCCGCATCGCCACGGGGCACCTCACCGACCTCCGCGGCGTCGCCGTCAAGGTCCTCTTCTTCTGGCTCAACATCGTCGAGGTCACCCGCCGCGGGGACCGCCTCGAGTTCTCCGTCGGCATCGCCTCCGCCGACTTCACCGTCGACAACTTCCTCGAGTCCCCGCAGTGCGGCTGCGGCTTCGACTGCGACGACGACGGCATCTCCTCCTCCTCGTCCCTCCCGCCGCCGCTCGAGCCCAGCCTGCTGCGACTGCGAGGTGCGTTCTAGAATCCCCATCCTTCCTCCAACCCAATCTGCGATGACGTCATCAATGGGGAGCTCTATTAATTACTGTTGGTACTAGTACTAGAAATGATTCCCAATTAACTGTCTAAATAAGACGCAAGTGTCCCCAGCTTTTAGATGGGACTCTCACGAGTTCAGAACACCATTTCATTCTCATATGTATGGGTGGGGTCTTGTATTGTACTCTATCAAGGCAGTTCATAAATAGTATGAAATTGGGATCAATAACGAAGTCTTCTTCAGTTCACAACTCGTTTGAGGTTCTCCCTGTTCTGTAACCTGCAACTTTTAGCAAAAACTTGCAGTGTTGGATGTATTTCGAGTGGCCAGGAATTTGTTTCTTGAATCCAGAGGCATGTTTAGAATGTTGGGATTTCACTTGATTCTCATATGAAAACAACTCGATTCCCATCGGAGTGAAGAAATTCTTGTGTCCCAGTTATTTGTAGTTATGTACAACCTTCTGATAGTTTGGAGGGCTGTATAAATTTGCCTTACCCAAAAGCAACGGATTCTTGTTCTCAAGGTGTTTGAGATAGCTGAGATCAGTATGTTTATCTTCTACTTCCTCCGTTTCACAATATAAGTCATTGTAGCATTTCCCACATACATATTGATGTTAATGAATCTAGATAGATATATATGTCTAGATTCATTAACATCAATATGAATGTGAGAAATGCTAGAATGACTTACATTGTGAAACGGAGGGAGTAGTTGGGAAGTGGTGGTGACAAGGCGAATTATACTGGAAATTGGCACTGTAATTGAGTGCGATTTCAGATATGGAATCAGGGCCTGTTTGGCACAGCTCTAGCTCCAGCTCCACCCCTCCTGGAGCTGGAGCTCAGCCAAACAGTTTCAGCTCCACTAATACTGGGAGTGGAGTTGGGTGGAGCTCTCTCACAAAATGTACTAGAGTTGTGGAGCTGGGTTTAGGCAGCTCCACAACTGCACTCTAGACTCAACTCCTGGAGTAATATTTAGGAGTTGGAGCTGTACTAAACAGGCCCTCAGTATTAACCTAGTAATAAATATAGAATATTGGTTAGAGCACCCACAATGGTAAAGTAAGGTGCTATCTATAAAACATGTACATCTCAGCAATAGACTAGATTAATAGTAAACCACTTCAATGGTATGTCTACATGGGTATCTATAGCTCTCTAATCCATTGTCTCGTTTTTCTCTATAGACTATCTCCAGGTTAGTAGATAGCTTTCCTCTCTCTCTTCATTTAATCTCTTCCAAGTAGGAAAATATGCTGACATGGATCTCTTGTAGAGAGCCTATAGATAACCATTGCGGGTGCCCTTACAAACATGCTAGAGATGGTTCTTAATTTCACATTGGCAAAGTTCTAGTGCCTCAAAGTGTTTAATATTTCTACGAAATTCCTTACAAGCCACTACAAATTTCCTTGATCACCACATACCAATGATACTAGGCATGGCATCTAAAAGATTTATGAATTTTACAGTGGCACGTAAGAATGTATCCCATTATCCATACTCTTTACATTTTGAATGGCAGCAATTTTTATACAACTATGAGTTGGAATGGTTTACTATTTCACAAATAATATCCTTTGTAAAACCTCAGTTCTGAACAGATCAAAACTGCTTGTATGATTCCAAGGTGAAAAGGAAAAAAAAGATCTTTGAACTTTGCTTGGATTATTTCAAGCTATTTGAAAGAAAGGGAAATATTTTACTTGGTTGGTCCATTTTGAGTATGTTAATCTGAAAGGTTCTCCACAATAACTTCGGAGTAAGTTTTTCGTGAAAGAACCTCAGAACAAATGCGAATTCAGGAAAAGCAAACGAAGCCATGGAAAAATAACCAGCACAGAGCATGAATGCCTGATCATTCAAAAAACCAAAAAAGAAATGTAAAAAGGATTACAGTTTACCATCCTTGAAGTTGATAATGTTTCTGTTTTCCTGAACCTAAGATGGCTCAATTGCTGTAGACATATCAGATTTGTCTTCTCTGTGCGCCGAGTGTTCTGCATTGTCAAACATTATGATTTGCAGCAAAGTTGAGCTCTTTCAATGCTCCTAACTGTGATCTGGACCTGTTCAAGTCTCTTTTAATTTGCCATTTCAGATTGTTGTTCTTGTGCCGCTATCACTGCTATTAGTGTCATGCACCTACTATCAACAATGAAATACTTGAATGGTGACAATCTTGCTGCTATAATTGTTGGACAGTGTAACCTGTGGGGTTTGTTTGAATATATATACTGTACCTTGCTCATATCTGATGTGCCATTGTTAAATATATAAATCCTGCTTGTGAGCAGTTAAATTATGTAATATATATATTTTTTTTTGGATGAAATCTGTATTGTGTCAGGTAACAACTAAGCCATGCAAAATGCATGAAATTGGGTGTTAGTATACTGGTACAACGTGCACAATTTTTTTTTCACAGACGAACCGGGGTCGCATCCAACGGCCCATACATACGCATACCGTCGGCACGAATCTCAAAGGACGGGTAAACCCCCCATTCTGCATCAGTCATGGAGCATCCTCTGCTTCAGCATCTCGGCGCGGAGGTCGGCGGCGTCCACCTCCTTGGTGCCGGTCACCGGCCGGTAGTAGCCGGTGTCCGGGTCCGGCTCCCAGAACGCCGTCTTCTCCTCCGTCGTGGTCGCCGTCGCCGTCGCGACGTCCTTCGCCGCCGTGCCGAGCTTCACCGCCTTGTCGTCGATGGTCTTGGCGGATCCTTCCGCCGCGGTTATCGCCGCGGACAATCCTCTCCTGCACCGTACGTGGTACCATTTTCCATCAGCCTCAAGCTCAATTTTGGCGAGAGGTAAAGCGTATAAAGCCAATCTATTCCAAATACCTGAAGTAGTGATCGTTGTATAAGACATCCTCATAGCATTGGAGATGCAATCTCCCTTGCTAAAAGGAATGCAATTCTAGCTATACATGTAATCCATGTGCATAGCTAGAATTATATTTTTTTTATAAAGAAGTACTACATTCGTTTTTTATTGTATGCCGTTGTTAACTTTTTGACAAATGTTTAACCATTATTCAATTTTTTTTTATAAATATAAAAATATTTTAAGTCATGCTTAAAAAATATTTGATGGTAAATCAATTCATAATAACATAAATAATAATGACATAAACTTTTGAATAAAATAAATGGTCAAACGTATCTTAAAAAAGTCATATATATTAAAAAGTCATATATATTAAAAAACAGATGAAGTAACATATTTCAACATAAGGTAGGAGAGCACACCTTTGTGCCAGCAGGGCAACACAGCTGGCTGCGACCCGCGCCATCCGATCGGGATCTGGCGGTTGATGTTGACTCAAGTCCTCTTCTCACCCGTTCTACTCCTCGTCGTTTCGGCAATTGTTCCTCTTTGGTCTCCTCTCTTGTTTTGAGCGAAGAAAGACGGCCATGCAGGTAATTATAGGGACGAGAAGAAGGGAAACAAGAAATGGGAGGCTGTTAGCACAAGTCGGAGTCCAAACCGGGGGCGCATGTTTTCTCCATGGCTTTATTACAGCATGCCAGATGGGATGGGCCTTCTGCAAAGGCCATTACATGGAAGGAATAAGTTCACTTGGTGACTCTCAAAAGTGATTGAAATCTAATCCGTTATCCTAAATCACAAAACCGGATATCTTGACCACCAAACTATGAAAACCGGTGCAATTTGACTCCCTCGGCGGTTTTGGAGGGTGGTTTCGCTGACGTGGCGATATTGACCTAGTCTGTGTGCTGACGTGGTGCTTAGGTGGCATTTCAATTAAAAAGTTATACGTGGGACCCGTTTGTCATTCGCACACACAATTGTGGGGCCCACTGACATGCGGGCCCCACATGCCATCTTCCCCCTTTCTTCTTCCTCCCCTCCCTTCTCTCTTTCTTTCTCCTTCTCCCCTACGGCCATCCGTGGGGAGCGAGCGGCGGCGGGAGCTAGCTGGAGCGGCGGCGGCCGTGGGCCGGAGTCATGTCGCGCCGCTCGCCGTTCCTCTCGCACCACCACCACCTGCACCACCCGGTGGCCGGCATCGAGACGTCGGCGGCGGCCGAGCGGCGACAGTGGCAGGCCGCGGGCGGGAGAAGCAGGCCGCGGCTGTGACTTCGAAACCACGTGACGAAACCGCGCGGCCCCACGGCGAGGCGGAACCACTCGAGGAGAGGGAGGAGGGAGAGCGCGCCGCCGAGGAGGTCGCCTCACGCCGTCACCCCCCTATGCGGCCGTCCACCGAGAGGAGAAGTGCCATGATCCGGTCGCTGCCACCGCCGCTTCCCCTCGTCCTCCCTCTGCCACGAGCCGCCGCCGCCCTCGCACCGCCGCCGGCTCCCCACGTCCTCCCACTGCCACAAGCTGCCGCCGCCCTCCTGCCGCCGCCCTAACCCGCCCACCCTCCCACCGCCGCCGCTGTAGTCTCCTCCGTATCCGCAAACTGCTGCCACCGCCAAAGAAGCCGTTGTGCCATCGCCCTCCGCCACCAAAGCAGCCAGCAAACCCCGCCGCCACCAGCGCCACTGTGCCGGCCTTCGCCTGCCGTGCACCGCCGCCACCATGTCGGCCTCCGCCGGCCACGCACCTCTGCCACCGTGTTGTGCCGGGTTTTGCCGTCGCTGGTCGAGCCGCCCCGCCAGTGTTGCACCAGCCGAAGCCGCCGCTGTCGCACGGGCTCCGCGCGCCTCCGTCGGTCGCGGAGTCGGCCTCGCCCGCCGCCGCACCACCGGGCGCCGCCCACGCCATCGCCACCGAAGCCGGCCGCTCCTCCTTCCCCGTCGCCGGACACCTCCGCCACGCGGGGAGCGCAGGGGAGACCAGATCCAGTTGGGGGAGCGCCGGATCCGGCGCTAGGGGAGCCAGATCCGGCGTCGCCGCACGCGGCGAGCCCGCCGCCGCGGCCTCTACCCCGCCGCCAACTTCGCCACCTACGCCCTCGCTGCCACTACATCCTCTGCCGCACCGCCGCCTCCTTCACCCCGCTGCTGCCTCCTTCGCCCTGCCGCCGCCTCCTCCACCTCGCCGCCTTCTTCACCTCGCCACCGTCTTCGTGCCCAAGACCGTGTCGGTGCCCCCACCGCCGACGGGAGGGAGAGACGAAGCCCCACTGCCGCCGTCCTTGTGGTCCCGCGGCTTTGCCGGCGGCCGCTTGGGCGGCGGCGGGGCAGTAGAGGTAGGAGGGGGGAGCAGACGATAGCGGCAGTGGTTTCCGCCTCCCGTGTCGGCCGTGAGGGAGGATGACGCGGGGGCCTATGTAGCGTGATATTTGGGCTCAATCCCAAGCCGTCGCAATAACACAGATCTTAAGGCAACATCAACCGTCAAAAAATCTGACTGCAAAACAAACAAATTTGTGGCACAAATATAGCGTTTCCGATTTTTTTTCTCTTCTCTTGAGTGTGTTGGAGTATATTGGTTGTATGCACTATCGTAGTGCGGAGACCGAAAGTTTCATCAGATCTTTCGATTAAGGTTAATAAAACTTCCACTATCTTAAACACAACATATATGATTTGAGTATCATCCACTGCACGGGAATGCCTGCATGGGCTGATCATCAGAACACGAAATGTGATGTGATGTGGAAGGTGATGTGATGGTAGTCAACTGGATGGTCTTGCAGATGATGCAATGCAGAGTCGATGCACGATAGTCGCAGCCGTGAAGTTAGGGCGTCTCCCAATCATCATGGGGATGCACGCTCACGTACGCTCTCCTTCCTATAGCTACTCTACCCTCTGCCACTGCAGCATCCATCAATCTACCTATACCTATTTACTGTTTACTTGCAGTGCCAGCAACAACACCGGCCGTTGTCAATCGATTGAATGCTCACGCCTGCATATACAAGTGTAAAGAAATGATCCAAACATTGCAGTGGTCAAGCTAAAGCATAGGAGTAGCTATCTCCATGCATGCATGTCCCAATTGAATGCAATTTTGGGTCAACACAAGCCATCTCTATATCTACTCCCTTTGCTATCCATCCATCCATCATTCCATCTGTCCATCTTCCCATCTCACATCTCACATGTCATGGACCTTGTTTAGATGGGACTTAACTTCCCTATCATATCGGATATTTGGACACTGATTATAAATATTAAACGTAGAATATTAATAAAACTCATTATATAACCTTGGACTAATTCGCGAGACGAATCTATTGAGCCTAATTAACCCATGATTAGCCTATATGATGCTACAGTAAGCATACACTAATTATGGATTAATTAGGCTTAAAAAATTTGCCACGCGAATTAGCTCTCATTTATGTAATTAGTTTTATAAGTTGTCTATGATTAATACTCCAAATTCATCCGATATGACAGAGACTTAAAATTTAGTTCCTGAATCCAAACACCACCTCACGCAACAACAAGACACAATCGACGACATAGTACATGGCTTCTTATTATTCAACTACTAGTAACTGTTACACGCCAATTGTATTAATATCGATCGATCAACAGCCATATATATATATATATATATATATATATATATGGAGTATTTGATTAATTGATCGACCGGCTTTCTTCCTGTGTTGTGTCATGCGACGTGCTCTTCATAATATTTTATATAGTCACCGATGAATTTCGATCTATTAGGTCAGGAATTAACTCTGTTTGCAACTTTAGACAGTGTTAGGAATGAAACTATATAATGTCTTTGACAATTTTGGAACATATTGACTGATATGAAAATTTTGGTACAAATGTGCGATGACACTCCAATTAAGAATATATGCACGAAAATATATGCGTAATATTCGTGGGCATAAGGATTTAAACTTTAGTGGGTAGAGTTATGTACCCACGACTCCACCACCACACCGTTGGTGCTTCTCACCTATGCTATCTATTAGATAACAGAGAGAAACTACAAGTCACCTACACCCTAGCTGTTGGATTGAGATTGAAAGGTCAAAGGGTCATCTTCAATTCGATCTTTAGCCATCGGCACCAACGATAAGTGAGAAGAGGGAGCAGAAAAAGAAATAGCTGATCAATGGCAACGGCGTGGCGATGGCTTGAATTCTAGCAAGCATGGTGGACACTGGACAGGGCGTGGCCGACGGCCTTTGTCGGCATCACACCAGGGCCGGTGAGATGAAGGGCAGGGTTATATCAACGACTTGGGTGAGGCGTGTAAGCGGCATGTGTGAGTAGCCAGGAACAATGGGAAGAGAGAGAGGGATTAGGTTTTTATAACTCATACACATATATTGGACAATAATGAACCTATTGCGGATCCCAGGTATTCATTTGAATACCCAGTATTTATAAAAGAACTTCAATATATATAATATATGTTAGATATATATATGTATATATTACATATTTTGAACCCTGCTCTATATATATATATATATATATATGTCCGACTTGTTTGTTTGTTTGACCGGTGTACGACTAAACGGTAGAACAGCTCGGCACGTGACGGCATGAGGCAACATTATGGGTTGGTCCTACGGAGATCGACGCCATGCACTCGCGTGCGTTATGGCTGTCCAAGAGTTGGACATAATGTTCTTGTGTATAGCATTTTTTATGTATTTTATTGAGTCTAATAATGCTTCATTCTCGATATTTTTTGTCAAGGAAAATAGTCTCATCTTGAGCTTCTACCTTACATCACTTGTAACCCGGCCAGTAACCCCAGACCACCAAACATTAGTGATACATGAAACCTGCAATCGGTTGTGAATACCCCGATCTAATTAAGATCCTGCGTCCACCGCTGATCTTGGAGCAATCGTATCGTACCTATTCAAAACTGATCGAGATTAACTTACCCTAAAATCTCAGACAGCTAATTAATCAAATTGCTCCCATTAAGTTACACAATGATTTGTATATATGGCCATGTTTAGGCTCTGCTTAGTTCTAAAGTTTTTTTTTTCAAACTTTCAACTTTCCATCACATCAAATCTTTCATACACACAACTTTTCTATCACATCGTACCAATTTCAACCAAACTTTCAAACCCTCAGTGTGAACGAAACACAGCCTATATATAGCACATATGCAAGCTAGCTTGCGTGTTCCCTAGCTACAAAGTTGCATGCTGACTGCTGGCCTGCGATCGAATCCAACGATAGATACACCATACGTAAGTGTAAGATGCAATGATGTACTTGTACAAGTTCCACATACACACACATAGGAGTACACTCCTACTCCATATACTTGCCTGAACATGTGCAGAGCGCAGAGACACACTCTCAAAGGACTGGGAGAAAGTTTAGCAGCTATTATACACAAGAAACTTCCCAAGAAAGGCCTGGAGAGTGACGACCGATCTGCACGCACACACAGCAGCAGCAGCTGCTGTGGTAAACTCTGGTACACCAGTACTACTGTACCTATATATCATTGCAAATACTCCCTCCGTTTCGAAATGTTTGACGCC